TAATAAGCCATTGGACAGATGGAAGATTTAGATGCTTATTTTCAACACAGACCACAACATTGTCATAGGTGTAAAGTGTAGTGAACATGAGATTTCAGCCCCATAGACATGTGTTAGTTATATTTAAGTAAAGGCTACTATATGGTAAATTCCATGTTATGACTATATTGCACAGAAAGTAGAGGACATAATGAGATTTGCTCCCCCAAGGGGTGAGTTGGTGGTAGGAACCTTTAGAAAAATTAACTATTTAATTTCAGAGTCCATAAGTATATCACAAAGTACAAATACTACACTTTAAAAAAGGAGCTTTCTAGAGGGAACTAAATTTGAACCAATGCCTTGAGATACTCAAAAAGGGAAATTATACCTACTGCAAGCAGTGTGCCTGTACTGGATACTTCCCATTGTATTTTGATTTCTGAAGACATGTCACCAAGATAAAGGGATTAAATTCCAACATATGTAAATACAAGGAAGCATGAAGTGCATACCAGGAAGGTTTATATTCAAAATGAGTCTGAGGCTTAAAAATACATTACTACAGATGACAGAGGTTTTTAAAAATATACTTAGAGCAAGAAGAATAAGGATGAGATATGTACAACTCATGCAATTGCTTTTGGATGCACAAGGTCAGCATGGCCTTCTCCACTATTGTTTTGTTTGTGAAAAAGAATGATGGACTTCTCAAGGTAAAATAAGTATGAGTAACTGTAAATTGAAGCCTAAGACAGGTATTCAGCTCTTCTAAATGAATTAAAATTCTACCCTACAGCACTGAGAGATCTTGTAGCTTGGGTTTCCTAGAAAGAGCTGCTAAAGTTTCGGAACTATAGTGTAGGAGAAATGTGGCAGAAGACTGGACCTGGCTCACAGTAGTTTTAATTTTCCTTTTCTATGTATTTACCATCCAGACTTTGAAGTATTATTTTAGAACTTACGCTTTCTACTTATCTTTTATTTTAGAATATATTTGCAGTACAGAATAATTATCATATGGCTTTTCAGTCTATACCATTAAACATCATAGGAATTAAGTGGAAAGTTCTAGAACAGGTTATTAAAAACATGATTGATGAGCACTTAGGAAAAACAATAGGCAGAGGATAAAAGCAGTAAAAGACAGCCTAAATTTCCTAAGGAAAATTCATGTTAGACAAATGTCATTTAATTTCTGGTTTTGACATTATTTCTAGCATGGAAGTACAGTAAAAATGTAGGCATACTGTATGTGGATATCAACAAGGTATTTGACAAAGTCTTTTATGATTTGCCTGTGACCAAGATGGAGAAATATGGCTGTATGAAAATGAGGATGTATATTTAACAAACCTTCATATTGCATAAATGTAATGTCAGAGAAACTACTTTGTATAGTAGAATTAGAATTCAGGTCCATCTCTACCTGCTAATATGATGAAATTTAATTAGGCCAGATTGAGGCTTTAGACATATTTCTATCAACACACTCCTTCTCAAATATATAATTTATTAAAGTTCATTTATATGATGGAAGAATAATTTTTTAATGTATTTATTACAGGAACTACAGGGTCTCACTAAACAGATCAGACTCTTAGTGATTTTCCTGTTTTTAACTTCCCAAACCCTGGGATTATAGGCATGTACCACTATGCCCAGTCTCAATCACAGTCTCAATGAAGCCCAAGGGCAAGACTGCATGGCACATGGAGGGTCCAGGGGGTGAGGGAGAACGGGAATTGAACTCCTGGTCCCTGCATCTGCCAAAGTATGCTCTTTAACCCTCTGATCTATCTGGCTGGCCCAATGGTAGAATAATTAAATATAGCCTAGCTTCAGAACTTGTTAATACGGCTGTGTGGATTAGTTAATTGTGTTCTCAAAGTGAGTAGGTGGTATCATTTGGCTACCCAAAAAGTTAAATGTGGCTAATCAAATTGTCTTTCTTAGCTGAACCTATAGCTACCATAGAAACAAATTCCTTAGTTATATGACCTAAAGCTGTAGGGATTGGTTGGTCTCACTGTGATTGGTTTTACCCAGGGAGAAACGACAGAAGGAATGAGAAAGGCAAGAAGACAAAAGCTGGGCTAGGTGGTCGCTGGTTTGTCTGATGGGCAAGACTAACATGCCTCATAACCAAACATACATTTATTTATACTTTCACAGTTTCTAACACATGACACAAGGTTGTCTAGCAACTAATAGCTGACCTTAACCAAAAAGGATGTTTATCTCAGGAGTGAGGTAGCTTGTTTGCTTTAGGCCCTGAGGCCTAGTCCCACCTACACACATTTGATCAATTTCTTAGCTTCCTGAAGCTCCCAACATAAAGCCAAAAGATGGAGTGAGAGAGTGAGGAGGTATACTTAGTGTCATTTCATGAGGTGGAGCTAGACATTGCTATGAGAAAGTAGAAACTGTACAGTTGAAAAGAATAATGTATCAGGCAAAGAAACAGAGGAGACAAAGCATACAGAGTATTTCTACGTCTTACTCCAGGCTTTGTCTTTCCCTTTGAGTACTGACTAGTGTTTCCTGGGTTTCAATGACCAATAATGTATACATTGAGATGTTCTCTGTTACTGAAGGCAAACTGGAAACCTCTCCTCTTTTCAACTGGAGAATCCACTAAGTGCTCACATCTGCATTGAACCCTGAAGGCTATTGGATATGAGAGAGATTTTATTTATTGTTTATTTATTTATTTATTTATGCAGTACTGGGGATTGAACTCAGGACCTTGTGCTTGCCAAGCAAACACTTATTCTACTGAGCTATCTCCCTGCCCAAGAGAGAGATTTTATTTATTCTGTGGGTCTCTAAAATTAGATTTGGGAAAAACAGGTAGAGTTAAGTGGCAGAAATTGTGGTTCCAAAATGAACATGAGATGTTTGAGGTGGAAAAGAACGCCTTAGGAATAAGTTTATTCCCTATTTTAGAAATAATTAAACAGAAGTAGGTGGCCACTTAATAGGGTTAATAATGTTACCTTTCAGATGCACAGTGCTTTGCCATGGAAGAAATGCATTATAAATTTCTTACACTAGCGTCACACTGGTCTTCACCACAACTGGACATCCCAGGGCTTCTGTGTGTGTACTGGGATGGACACTGGGGCCTTGCATATGCCCATCATACACTTGCCACTGAGGTAAGCTCTAGGCCTGGGAAGCAGTTTTATATTAATTTTCACAGACAAGGAAGCTGAGGCTCAGAGAAGTTCCATTGCATAGCTCAAGCAGAAGTTTATATGTACCCACAGTTACCTTTTATTGACTGAATGTGAAATGAACATTTTAAAGGATATATTTGGAAAATTCTACTTGATCAAGCTGATGAAGCTTTCAGGCATTTTAAAATTAATTTTTGTAATGGTGAATATATTTTCAGATGCACTAAAAAGGTTCTCTGCTCAGCCTCACATGAAACTTATGCTCTTCACTGTGTCTTAGGAAACTGAGACTAATTAATACATTACTTGCTTAGATACAGAAGGTCCGTGGGTGCAGTTGTACAAACATGCCTTGATGTACATTTCAAACATGAATAGTTTTCTCCATTTGCTTGAACCCATTCCCACCCTCCTTCCAGATTTCCTGCTATTTGGTTTCATGGAATAAGGATTGTTTGCTTGTCAGAATTGCTAGTTAACCATATTGTTGCACTGTCTTCTTGGTCCTTGATCACTAAGCCCCACAAAACAATCAAAAAATTAGGAAATTATCACTATCTGAAAACCCTTTGAGGAAGAAATACAGTGTTCTCTGCTTTTCTCACTTTGACTAACTTCAGTCAATGCACAAATCACATCACTAGTTCAATTCTAACAGTGGTAATGGCTGTATTTTCTCTTGGAAGACAGCAGAAAAGGCAGTTTATGAAGCCATCTAATCTAGTAAATGATAGATTATACAGAGATTCCTGGATTTGGGCCATAGTGGTGACACATTCTGATGCTAGAACTGGCATTTAGTTTAATATACTGCTGAGGAAAATGTGTCTTAAAGTGAGTTTTTTCATCCTTCCTTCTCTTTCCTGTTTCCTAGAGAAGATTAAGATGGAAGTTGTTATCAGGTATTGTTTATCACTTGTTATATTATACACACAAATATCTTTAGAAAAAGTTGGGGCATACAGAACACAAGGGGGATGCCTTGAATTTAAAACATAATAGAATGCCATGTTTTATTAGTTAATGTTTTTCTGTGAATAGTAAATTGCAATTAGTACTTTTTTTTACAGTGCTGTCAGTGGAACTGAGAGCCTTGTGCCTGCTTGGAAAGCATGCTACTACTGAGCTACAAAGACTGTCAGCTCTGACAGTTTTAATTTTGACTTGCTAATGGCTGAAAACGGTGAATAACTTCTTAATCCCACTGAGGGTTAAATTTTATCATGATTGTGGTACATGCAACAGTGGAGAAGAACTTTAATCACATGACAAAGATTTGATGAATGAATTCCAAAACCTAAATACATGAATTGAAGGGAAAAAAAGCGACATTTTTTTTCAAGATCAAAATTCTTCAAGGTAGAATCCAGTTATACTTCCCCTTCATGAGGGAAATCCTTCTTAAAAAGTTGAAGACAATTATTATTTCAAATACTTCTATAATAAATAAAATGGAGTCTATCACTGTTCCTTCAATAGTGTTTGGATTTCCCTGTAGTGTTGAAAATTCTCACAGCAAGGAACAATTGTCTTTCACTTTGAGGTTGCAGTGACAGCTTAGATAATTGGTTCATTTCATGTTTTTTGTGGGTGTCTGACAGTGAGGTGTTTATGCATCTGTACTTTCATCTTTGTGTGTGCATCTGCTTTGAATTCTGTCTATGATTGGGTCTGGATCTGGAATCAGATGCCTGTGGAGGGTTATGCACTTTTGCTCATGAATCTGAGCATGTATTTGTGTGTCCTTTCATATAGCTATGGTGAAATGAATTTCTGCAATCAGTAGAATCATCCACTGCCACAACTTAAGTTCACTGGGATCAGTAGCAGTTCAAGTACCTGGTCTCCAATGGTATGTTGCTATTCAAGACCCAGCTGTTATGCAGATGAACTGAGTCCTGTGTACTGGTTGGAGGAGCTGGAGCAGCTGGACTGGGTTGGCTGCGTGTAGTCATTGATCGCCTCTGAAGAGAGTCCGCTGTAGGGGGTGGCTTCCTGGCACAGGTGCAGGCATGCGGAGGTGGTGGAGGCGGAGGGAGGGGTCTGAACGTGAACTGGTTGTGCGGGCTGCTCTGCATGTCTAAAAAGAAGAGAAGGAAAACATAAAATAAAGATTTATTCTCTCGCTTGACAGTCAGGAAAACATGGCATAACAGATTTACCAGGGATTTCAGAAGATATAACCTGTGGGTAGGAGGAAAGAGTTTAAGTTCAATTTATCTGTAAAATGTCACTTAATTTACAAAAGCATGTGCAGAATGTTTAGGAAATGTAAAACATTCACAGTTGCATTTACATGTAAAATTTTCAGGCCTATAGCAGCTAAAAAGCAAATGAGGCCCCCTCACACAATTTGTCATAGTTTCTGCTGCTGAAGAAATAAATCATCAACAAGACACTAAGTTACAGAATAGAGCTGATTTCAATAAGTTGCAAAAATCTCACTTCAGAAAACACCAGTGAAAAGCACAAATTCCTTGCAAGGAAAATCATTTGGCTCTTCAAATAAAAATATAAGGCCACCTTCTGGCTTACCTCAGGAAAGAATGCTAGCTTGCCTACATGGGAGCAAATCTATATTTCAGAAAAAGAGCTTACACATATGTAACTTAACTGCTTGAAACTAATCCCACCTTCCCACCTCAGAATGCTACTTGTAAAAAGTAGGTTAAAAAGACTTTGTTCTGGTTACTACACATGTTTCTATAGCCATGTAAAGCAGTCTGCAGCCCCCCACCATACTTGCCCTATTGCAATTTTTGCTAGAATCTCTGCTATGTTAGCAGAACTTTAGGCAACAAGTACTGACTGTTTTTTGTTTGTTTGTTTGTTTGTTTGTTGTTTTGTTTTCTGTTCTTGTTTTATTTTTTCTGCATGTTTGCAGAAGGGGAAACTTCTGACAGTGGTCCTCAGACCTCCATTATTGCTGTTTGGCATTTTTCCAGTTTCCTGGCAGGTTCATACAGATAGTGAGTTAGAATTTGGCCCATAAGAAATACCCCCAATTAAACTCTTTTGAAAAGAAATTGCTATTGCGGCTGATAACTACCTCTCTTCCACAGAATGACATAATAGATGTCAAGTGATTGCTTGTAACAGCAGCATGTTCTGGACAAACTCTGTAGACAACAAAACTTTTCCCAACTTCCAGGTGCTGGGATTTTGAAAAACAAAAAAATGCCAGAAGCTTGAGATACTTAGCAAAAGGCTCAGCTGGTTTGTGCTGAGGCCCACTTCTCAGTCACTGATCACAGACAAAATCACTTCTCTCAGTCCCTCCACTTTAGATATGAATTTTAAAGACTTGGCATGTTTTTTTCTTATTTAAAAATGATATTATTGTCCCAATAGCATGACAAATTCTTGGCTGGATTTCTAGTACAGGTGGCATCCCTTTTAAATAAATTTATTATGTGAAAATCTGGATTGTACAAAAGATAGATAGGGAAGGGAGTGGTGATCATTCATTTTATATAAAAGATTCTTTTAGATGGCCAGTTATCCTTATATATTTAAAATGCTTCATGAATTTTCTAAATTACCCCCATTATTCTAGGCTCAGCCCACATCCACTTATCCACTAAAAAGTCATTGCTTGTGTGTAACATATCATTAATTTTTTAAACTTTTTGCTCATATTCATAGCCATAACTGGTGTATGCTTTTTATTCTTAAGACAGAAAAGCGTTGAATGCTAGAACACAGTCCTAGAGCCTTTGAGTTCCTTTTATTTTGCAGATGAATGACTTGTTCAGGGACACATGAGAAATCAGTGATGTGGTCACTGACTCTGCCCAATGATATACTCCTATATTTCAGATCTCTGTGATAGGAGCCCTCTTTTCCTTCTGGAGATTCAGAGAAACCAATTCTTCTACATGTTCAGGGTTTTTCATTTATATTTGTGTGTCTTCTTCCCACTCAGCCCATAACTACCAAAATATAGAAAGGAAGGCAGTGTGATATAACCCAGGTCTAGCAAACCTGGGGTTTAAAGTCTGTGTTTATCACATAGACGTTTTCACTTCTCATTATTAAAGTAGCCCACATGATTATTTTCCTAATGATTAAGTTTAGTTTCTGTGAAATGTGCTTGGAATTAGTATATCAGTTGGCTATATGTTTACTGAGTAGAGGAGAAGTACAAAATTTAAATTTGTAAAGAACCATGAAGACTACCTTGTTCAGCTCTTGGAATCCAAGGCTCAGAGAGATGAAGAGACTAATTCAAGTTGTTTAACTTGTGCAAATTTGCTCACTCTTGTCTGATGATTCCTAATCTAGCATATTTAACCTAGCTCTATTTACACTATTGCAGAAAAATTAATGACTTACTTTTCTGACTTTACAGTTACTATTCTTATCATAAATTTGGTCACCGAGTTTGTGATAGGGTATGCCCTTGACATCTTATATGCTTTGTCTGATTGTGCACAGTAGTTCACAGAGGAAGACCATTCTCTTGTATGCCACATAGCATTGAACACAGTTCTTGGTACGGACCCAGACATCTATAAGTGTTTACTGATAGAAAAAGACTTGGCCCATTCATGGAGCCTAAAGAAGACATTTTGATGTTTGCGTCCACTACAATTCTGATGCAGCCACTAATATCAGAGAGAAGTAGGTTTCTCCCTTACAAGTTTCAGTGGAATCACTCAGAGCAATGAGGAAGGACAGTGATACACTGAAAAAAGCATTTAATAATGCCCCTCCAAGATGTAGAAAGAGCAGCAGTGACTCACTACAGATTTGCCAGCTAAGGCCATGTATGTGTAGGGAAGGACTTAATGACCTAAGGAAAGGGAAGCAAAGTGTGGGAGTACAAAGTCAGAGGAAGAACATGAATCCATTCTAGAGTTCATGTTGAAAATACCTCCAAATGACACTACGACATCTACTAGCCTAATTGGTAGGACTTTGTGTCAGCGCAGTTGTTCAAAAGACAGAAAATTACCCATGTTCTTCTGGACATATTTTCTAGATTTCTGTAAAGTCTTTGCGATTCTCTTATTAGGATAAAATTTAAGAAATGTATTTTATTAAAAAGTACAATCACAATATTACTATGCTTCTCTCAGGCAGAAGAGCTGTGATAGATATTCAATGATATACTTGTAAATGTACATGCACACATATACGTCTATACATACATTTTTATTTTTATCTATTTTGCTATATATTTTTATTCCGATGTTCCCTATGTGGAGATTTTCCTGTAGGTTAATACAGTCTTTAAGTGTTTTCATAATATTGGATTGTTGCACTGCCTGGAATACATGCAGACCTTAAGCCCTTATGAAATGCAAATGACTTTAAATTCATTCTTCTTATTACCTCAGGAAAAAGATGGGGGATGCACTTGTTCCTTCCCAAATGAAGTAATTTAATCCTTGGGTTCTGTGAAATGGGATTTCCTAATATTAAACACTAATGAAAAATATATTACTGTTCAGTGTCAGGAGTTCTAGAATGACAATTCCAGGGGGTTAAGATTCATATGCACTCACTTCCAAATGTATCTGGCAATCTTGTATACTTCTGTGCCCAAGACAGAGTATCAGGAGAGATGTGAGGAAGGGTAATTATGCAAATTTATATATCCAGATATACGTATAAAGCTTTCTGAAAATAAGCTTTCAGATGGAAAAGTCTAACTCACATAATACATTTGGATAGGGGTCAGTTTATGATTTGAGGTCCTAAAATAATTTGGTAGAATAATCTCTAAAGGGGAAAATTTATCTAATCTGTAGATCTAAGATATTCTAGGTGGGACAGAGCTGGTAATAGAAGTATAGGCCTTCAGAAACAGTACTACCCTGCTCTTCAAAATGAAAGTGGGAAAGTTACCATATATACCTTTTTCTTTTCTCTCTATTTGCAAATAAACCTTAATTTAGATCACGTGTTATAGAAAGTCTTCACCAAAAATCAGTATCTCTCTGCTCAGAAACATCATGTGGAAACCTATCAGGGTGTCTGGCAGAGTGTTTTGCCCCTTACATTTCATTAACACATACAGTCAGTTCTGTTACAAGGTGATGCACACATTTCAAAAATTCACTGCACTATGCAAAAATCACACGTGGGAAAAGTCTTGCTGAGAACAGTGGTGCTGGGGTACAGCATTCAAAAGGTCCTGAAAATGACACATTGAAAACTAGCTAATAAGAATGGTCACAGTTAAAATGCTATGCCACATATGACACCAGATGTGAGAGAGCAAGACTCCTAACACACTTGGTAAACAGATAGCTGTTTGATAGGTGTAAGTCTGTTTCACTTTGTGTTTTTACGCAGCTTTTTCTGCTCTATCCAGTTTTCTGTACTCAATGATTTTAACAGATGGAAAAATACACAATTGAGCTTAAACTAAAATCATTCTCAAGTTTACCAATAACAAGGGAAAATAATGTGTTTAAACAAATACTGTAGCAAAAATAATGGAATGTATAAAATAATTTTCTGTAGGTAAAAAATTAATATTGTATTGCCAGTATGACAGAAATGACAAAGATCATGCTTTCAAATTTTTTTTGAAAAATTTGTCCAAAGTGGACACATGACCAGTTTTATCCAATCATGTACTAAAATTACTCACTTTTTTCCTTTAAGAACACTATTACTCTCTCAAATATGAACCTTTTGTAAGGTTGCTATGAAGTATATGTTGCCAACATCTATTTCTATACCTCTAGAAAAGAACTTAAAACCTTGCTACACCTGTACTTCATGACTTGACTCTTCTTTCATTACCTCATTGGCAAAGGGAAAGTGCAGCTCTGCTCTTATTTACCTGTTACACTGTAATCTAAAAAATTCCAGTATCTGTTGTTGCTATGGTATTTATTTTTCTTTTTATTTATTTATTTTTTCTTTTTCTTTTTTTTACTCATTATTAACTTTATTGAAAATCAACACTAATTATAAAGCAAATTAAAAGTATTTATTTTTCTAATACTTTGGTTGGTAAATCCTGATCAGAAGCATTATGCAGATATCCATGATCTTTTCTCATTTATTAAATGTTCATACATTTAACTGCAGAAGTATTAATGCATTTTAAGGGGAGTTGGC